CATGCCAAGCCTGGAGCACTGCAGGGAAGCTGGCTGTATTTCTTCCTCGCAGAGAAAGGTTACTTCCTGCGTCAGAATCTTTCATTCAGTTTCTACCCCTGCCCCTTATTAGGCAGGACAGGGGGATCTCTACATGTCCACCTTGGAGGGTCATCATAGGTTAGCGGGGAGGGGATGGGACTGGTGGGTTGCTGCTTAGCCAGTTTATCGCAGTATTATTATTTGCAGTCCATCCAAAGTTGTACTAGACCCATTGCATATAGCTTAACATGATTCTGGCCCAAAGAGTTTAGAATTGAGGATTTGGATATAACACAGAAAGTAAGGGAGAAAACACGAGAATGAAAGAGGTAGGGACAGCGTTACATAAATGTGATCATGTGGTGACTCAGCCAGTTAGAATCATAGAATCATAGAATATCAGGGTTGGAAGGGACCCCAGAAGGTCATCTAGTCCAACCCCCTGCTCAAAGCAGGACCAATTCCCAGTTAAATCATCCCAGCCAGGGCTTTGTCAAGCCTGACCTTAAAAACCTCTAAGGAAGGAGATTCTACCACCTCCCTAGGTAACGCATTCCAGTGTTTCACCACCCTCCTAGTGAAAAAGTTTTTCCTAATATCCAATCTAAACCTCCCCCACTGCAACTTGAGACCATTACTCCTCGTTCTGTCATCTGCTACCATTGAGAACAATCTAGAGCCATCCTCTTTGGAACCCCCTTTCAGGTAGCTGAAAGCAGCTATCAAATCCCCCCTCATTCTTCTCTTCTGCAGACTAAACAATCCCAGCTCCCTCAGCCTCTCCTCATAAGACATGTGTTCTAGACCCCTAATCATTTTTGTTGCCCTTCGCTGGACTCTCTCCAATTTATCCACATCCTTCTTGTAGTGTGGGGCCCAAAACTGGACACAGTACTCCAGATGAGGCCTCACCAATGTCGAATAGAGGGGAACGATCACGTCCCTCGATCTGCTCGCTATACCCCTACTTATACATCACAAAATGCCATTGGCCTTCTTGGCAACAAGGGCACACTGCTGACTCATATCCAGCTTCTCATCCACTGTCACCCCTAGGTCCTTTTCCGCAGAACTGCTGCCTAGCCATTCGGCCCCTAGTCTGTAGCGGTGCACTGGATTCTTCCGTCCTAAGTGTTCCTGAACACTTTGTGCGCAGTACAATTCCTGTTTAACATAAACGTTAATTACTTCACCTCTTGGAGGTTTCATGCTATTCTATTTAATCTGCTGCCTTTAGTAGCTGTATTTTTAATCCTATTTGCACTGCAGAACCCACATAGCTGAGAACAGAGCCCATCTCACTCTCCGTCTTTTACAGTGGAGTGAGTGGAAGTTTACGGCATATATATACAAAAACACATGCATGCTCGGACACACACACACACACATACACACACACACACACACCCCTTTAAAATGTCTATCCTATTTTATGTATGGAAAATACAAAAAATAAAAAGAAAAAAGAAAGAAAAAAGAAGTGGGAGTTCTGCAGGCAGTTGAAGCTAAAATTACACAGACAAATTCAAACTGCCAAACCCAACTAGTTTTTGTAGGGCATATAATCAATAAAGAAGGAGTGAAGACAGATCCAGAAGAATTCAAAGCAACAGCAGGATTTCCCCTTCTTAAAAATATATCAGAATCAAAGCAGATTCTTGGTGTGACCATTTCTGGAGGCAAAATCTGTACTCAGAATGCAGATTCTTTAAAACTACTTAAATCAGCCTCTTTGTGGGTCTGGGATAAAGTACATTAGCATGTGTTTGAAGTGCTAAAGCACTTATTGACCTTATCCCCAGTATGTGTTTCCAAGACTACAGCTGTTTCTGCAGATACCAGTAGCTATGGTCTCAGTGGGGTGCAACTCCAGCTACATGGGGGTGATTGAAAGCCCACAGCATATTGCTTTAGACAGCTTACAGATTCTGAGACCAAATATGTTCATATAGAGCAAGGAAGAGACTATCTGGTAAGCATATGAGTATACAAGAATTTCACAATATATTTGCATCCTCTTGATAATTATACGGTGTGACAGTCCACAAGCCACTGGTACCACTAAACAATGGAAAAGAGCTAGATAAGAGACTCAGATGCCAAAGACTATTCATATGTCTAAGATTTAAATATGTTCTTAGTGATAAACACATATCTTATTAAGGGGCCTAGAGACTACCCTGATCCCTAGGGCAATATAAGAGCTGATATGGGCTTGGTTTGGGGTTGCCTGCCAGTCTCACCACAGAAGCTAGAACTGATTAAAATGGTCATCAGTGTTGATATACAGCTGAAAGCTATGTCAAAAGTTATTTGAAATGGGTGGCCTAAAGACTTTGACATCCCGTACCCAAGTCATTAATACTATCCACTGAAGGAGGACTTGTTTTCACCTATAAACAAATGTACCATAGCCCCACGGCCACTGAGGCATGCTGTCATCTGGGCCCCACAAAATGTTGGGAGAGATCCTAAACAATGTTGTGGTGGCCAGTCATAGTGCAGGACAAAAAACACAAGATAGAAATGTATAAGACAGGCAAAACTCAGAGGACACAATTAAAAGAACTACGTACCACACTCACACATTTACATTAAAATCCTTGGAAAACAGTAGCCTAAAAGCTATGTTCAATATTTCAGTGGAAATACTCAGTGATGACAACAAGCTACACTTCATGAGTTCAGAATTCAGAGCCCTGGGATGCAGTTTAATTCTTGTCACTCAAAGAAATGGATAGGCAGAAAGGGCAACATGGACCTGCAAACTATAAAACCTAAAAAATCATTCTAGCCAGATTAAAGGCCTTGATCTATTCTTTTCCCACAAGTAATTACTGATTGAGTTCCCATCTTGATGGTTTAAGGGTGTCTGATTTTCAAAAATTGTTGAGCACCCAAATTTTAAAAATAGGGCTCCTTAGGTACGCCAAATCACTGGTGATATGCCAATCTTGCCCCTTTGTCTATAGTACTTTTTCACAATTTGTCAAGCATCAGTGCAGCTCCCCGGGCAATAGCAACGGTAGAAGTGCTAGTGTAGATTGAGTGCCTGTGTTTCCATCCCCGTAACCCCACTCCAAGGCCAATGGTGGGAAAAGTGTTGAAAATTTTCCATATAGACACAGACAAAACAAGCACAATTTTAACAGTCTACACAGAACTTATTAGGAAGTCTAAGTATTGCTCTGTCAATCTCATTCTCAGTTTCTCTGTTCATGTACATACTGTACCTTTTCTGACCCCAGAGGGAAAAAACATCTGCTGCTTTTGGTGAGATATGTAGCCAGAATTTTTAAAGTAGAATATCATATTGAAATTCTTTTGGAATTCTCACTTGCTTGTACATCATGCTGTGGGCTGGGGAATACACTATGGAATCTGTAGCTTTATAAAAATTGTTAAGAACTGTAGTTCTTGTGTCTCTCATTTCACTATGTTCAAAGAGCTCTCTGGGCTCTCTCTCAAGGTTAATGACCTGTCAGTTCATGAAATTTCAGATTTAATTCTTTCCCCCACAGTGAGGACATCAGATTTTAATGTCTAATTTCCCCCCTTTGTGAGGTTTTTATTAAATAAAGTAGATCTGTTTTCTTAAATGTAAATTGAATTGAACTTTGTTGCTATCTCCACTGTGGGAAATAATCACTGCTTTAGGATAAGACCCAACATGTAATATGAAGATTCACATCTTCTACCCCCTCAAAATATATACATACTAAGGCACAAGAAAATATCTCAAAAATTCACACATTGTCTCTTTCAGCTTTCACTTATTATGAGAGCCTAAGTAGTGACTTCATAGTTATGGTTGTGTTGAGATTTGCACCTGAAACAGAACTAAAAATGTTTTGTTTCACACTTTAATTATTGAATGTAGTCTCGAAACTTGGCATAGTAACTGAATTTTCCTCGTAAGTTTTAAAGAAAAATATGTACTGACTTTAGCAGAGAAAATACATTTGAAATTTTGCTCTGATGGCCAGTTATTTTAGTCTAACTGGGGAAAGAACCTGAGATCCCTACACATTCCAAACTTCACACATCCACACACCACAACCCAGACATTTTTGGAACGTTACAGTTAACCACATAAAGCAAGAGTTTCCCTCTTGCCCTTCATAACCTAACTGATCACTAGGAAGAAAAGCGGATGGAACTGCTCAGAACCATCAATTCCTTCCCTTTCCCAATGTTAAGAGGACAGCTTGTCTCTGTACTGGAGCTACAAACTCTTAATCTCTAGCAACATGGGCTACAACTCTCCCCCTTTCAGTGCCCACTCCTATCCTGTTCTAGTCCTGGATAATAAGGACAGTGGAGGAAGACGGGAGTTGAAGCCCAAATTCTCAGAGACCTGGGATGAAATCTTCCCCTCACCCCCCATTGAAGTAAATGGAAGTTTTGCCATTGACTTTACTGAGGTCAGAATTTCACCACTGGAGTTTGCAGCTGTGCTACAGAGGCAACTGCTTCCTCTGACAAGCCACTAGCATTCAACAGAGGGCAGCCCTGGTCTTAGGGCATAGATGAGCGGAGTGTAGATGGGATGTTGAATGACTTTCCTACTGATCTCCTGGCTTTTGAGCGTATGCACCAGCGAGCTTTGCACCTAGCAACCCCAAACCTAAATGAAGTTTCTTGTGGGGGAGTTATAAAGCATTTGGGAGAGTTCCTTTACATTTATTATTATAAAAAAATGACAATTAAAAACAGGCTGTCGTAGTGGAAACAGTGTTAGAAGCTGCAAGTAGGCAAATATTAATTGTGCCAATAGATACGAAGTGTTTAGATAATTTGTTTAAAACGTAGAGTGTGTTTGAATAAATATTTAATATTACCCAAGCCCATGTTATCCAAACAGTTTGGTGTACTGGAGTGTGGATAACAAAATGAACAGTATCTGGGATTACATTTGTGTGTGAATTTCTATCCATTTGTTGCTTTAAGTCACAACAGTAACTTCTTTTAACCCTTAGATTACTGGAATTGTTCCAGACTGCCAAACCTCCTGACTGCTTAGAAGGAAGTATTATTATTAACTATATATGCGGTGGTAATGCCCATAGGCCCCAACCAGGATGGCAGCTGCTACACCTAATCCCTGCATGAAAAACTAAGAAAAAACAGACAAAAGGTGGGTGAAATCCTATTCTATGTATAAAATGATCTGTTTTAATTCATATATATTGTACATCATGCACACAGCACGTGTAATGGTCGTATCAGTGTGATAAATTATGGAACTGTGTCCAATCTCCAAATGAAATTAAGCTTTTTAATGCAAACATGAAGGTCTCCTTTCTGCAAGCTGTTCAGCATGGGCAGATCCTTACCCCTCTGTAGAGACAACTGACTTCAATGGCTTGCAGGACTGAGGCATAATGTGTGGAATACTTGTTGAACCACAAGAAAAGTCATTGTTCTGGTTAGAAGCAATGTGCCTAGAAAAAGCCTTGTTGTGGTTGAAACCTACTTTCTCCGTTTCCTTATAATGGACAGTAATAGGTTATGTATTTATAACAGAGGATTTCAATGAGGACACTGTAAGAATGAAAGAAGCAATTCTCAATTATCTGAGGTATACTGTGTTTTTTATATGCATACTACAGTATATGGATAAGAATCAACAGTAAATGTTTTAATGCAGTAATAAATTGAATTTTATGTGGTAAAGCCCACTACGAGATTGGGATTGGTTGGCATGGACACCTCTGCTTGTGTGGAGTGCCATTAAAGGCTGGGTCTTTAAGTTCTTTTGTATCTCATCACCCTCTTTAAATAAAAAATATGGCCTCATCTTTGCTTTTTATTAAGACTCTTTTTTCAGCAACTGCCTCCAATCTTTCATGTATTCTATGGCTAAAAACGGAATGATGCTTTTAAAACTGGTTTCAGAGTAGCAGCCATGTTAGTCTGTATCCACAAAAAGAAAAGGAGTATGGAAACCACTGCATGCATCCGATGAAGTGAGCGGTAGCTCACGAAAGCTTACACTCAAATAAATTTGTTAGTCTTTAAGGTGCCACAAGTACTGCTTTTCTTTTTGCTTTTAGAACTGTTACTGAATGGATTATTTTAACTTGTTTCTGTTAGGGTGTTTTGACCACAAGAGGGTGTAAAGACACAGTATTTCACACTAGGTAGCAGTGTGCTGATCTACAATAAACTTCAGTTATTGCTTTTCATACATAGGGCTCTTTACTCCACTCTCCCCAACATGACTATTAGGGAGTAAGGTACTGCTCAATGGGTGTAAAGGTGGCAGAATAGGGATAATAGGCAGTAGAGGAATAAAAACAATAAAATAATTGCAAATTCACCTCAAACAACCTCCCCCACCCAGATATCAACAAATCTGAACTTCAGGATTCAAACCCAAGCCTGAATATGAATGTTGCAAATGCCAACATCTATATAGCGAGTTGAACCAAAACATTGGATCAAAATTTGATATGTCTGAAATCTGGATCTGGATCTGAATTATGCATCTTGAACCCATCACAGCTCAGCCAGAAAACTGATATGAGATCTTGCATGATTCACTTGTCTTTATGCACCTCAGTTTCCCTATCAATAACTTGGGGATAATATCTATGTTTGGCAGCTATAAACAGCCTCCTAACATACTCATCAAGAAATCAGATGGCTCTCCCTGCTCATAATGCCTCTAGGAACTAGAAGTCTGCCTGTCAGAGTGTCCAGGTTTCTGATCCAGGCCTGGCCATAAAGTAGTTTGACTTTGTGCAAAATGTCACAATTTCACAAAGATCTGGCCTTTCTTAAATTGCCCATTATATTCAAAAGTATCATTGCATGCTCTTCAGCCATGTTGCCAGAATGGACAAAAACACTGCAGAATGCTGTGCCCTCTACCTCTCCATCAGTGTGTCAGGGAGTGCATGCCCTAACCCCACCTGACGCCACCTGTGAGGTTGCCCCAGAGATCTGTGGATTTGCAGGATTAAGCCAGATCTGGGAACTTTACTACAGGATTCCTGGTGCTACGCCATCTAACGTGACCACTCTAGCTGACACAGCATTCTTCAGTAGACCACATGGTGTTTGATGATGATGATGATATCTACCTTAGTAAAGTGATCTGAGATCCTTAAATAACATCTCTCATTCATATGCGAAGTATGCAGCACAGGGCAAAGATGGATAGATGGAAAGAAATAGATAATTAGTTTGTTCATTATCATCAATTGACATGGTTACAAATAAGTGAGCAGATTTTATTCATGGATTAATACCTTTTAGTTCAACCTTGAAAAGTTGTTAATTTTCCTATAATTCTGAGGTTTAATGAAGGCAACCTGAAGTTACAGGCTAAAGGTTACACAAAACAGTACTGGTAAAACAAACCCTTTAAAAGTCTAAATGTTCAAAAACAACTTCTTTCCAACATATGTTGCAGAAATGCATCACACAGTGGTATGTGGCTATATACAGTCTTTGCTGTTCAGTGCATCGGTCCTAACTCTTTGTTAGTAAAACCTGTCTGCTACCACAAATAGACAAGCACTCTACCTCAATGGGTGAACTTTGGTGTAGGCACCTCAGACAAGGCCTGATGCAGCACTTAGATTGCACATCCCCCATAGGGTTTTATGTGGGCACCCTGCATCAGGGTGAACTTCAACCTATGTTAATCTCTTTTAATTTCACCCTGATGAATTTTCCAAAATTCATCAATCTCTAGGTTTTAGCTCTTATGGCCTGGCCATATTCCAGTTTGAATTATTGTACATTCTGCCTATTTACATTCCCCATACCATTTTCAGTGGATACAATATTCTTCTTCCTACCTTAAAATGGTTTGTAATGCAGTGCACACTTAACAGTCACATTCCACTTAAAAATATACTCCAAAAATGAACTGGAGGATCTGTTTTACGTCTCCTATTAATAACACCAGCAGTAACACAGTGCTGGAACATAGGTTCAGTACCCAAGAAGACGCATGCAGGTTACTGTATCATCACCAGTTTTTCAGCACCATGGTTTTCCTTAAAAGCCTCTGTATCAGAATGACAGTTTCTAGGGCCCTGCTCTGCATAGTTGAGCTAAGCAGATCTCAGATGCTAGAACCTGGTGTAAAGATGCAGAATAATTACTGCTGATTTATGCTGTCAAGAGGATCTTGTTAGTTCCAAGTAGGATATAACAGCAGCTGGGATAGTACATGGAAGGTCATGCAGAGAAGCCCTAGGAACATTTATGGGTTTTTTCATTCTTATTTGAATTACTAATAGCCACACACCATTAAGGCCCAATGAGCCATTATCTGTCAAGTGTCCATGTGGACAACAAATTCCAAGAAGTAAAAGGAGGATGACAGAGAAGGCAGATAAATGCATCTTTTTACAGAGCAGAATTTTTATATTTTTCAAAGCATACTTCCAGTTCCGTAGAGTTTCTTATAAATCCATTCGGAGAAAAAGCAACTTTATTTAAAAAACAGCTGCTATAGAGAATTCCTCTTTGAAAACATTCTCCTTTCATAACCTCCTGGCCAGAAGTAACTTGGTGTTTAATGTCAACAACTCTGCTTTAAGAGTCAGCAACAGCTGAGGATAACTGAGAAGGAGGTGGAACAGAACCAAGTTGTGGACCTTCACTCTGGTGTAGTTCCTCAGAGTATGTCTTCACTGCAGGGTTAAATCAGATGATTGGCATCTGGGTTAGCATAGCCCAGAAGAGAGCAGCCACACGGCAAAGCCCTACCTGAGTTACTGTGTCCTCACTGGTGCTGCACTCACCTGAAGGTGTTGCTAGGACTTCAGGAAGCATATCATAGAATCATAGGACTGGAAGGGACCTTGAGAGGTCATCTAGTCCAATCCCCTGCACTCATGTCAGGACTAAGTATTATCTAGACCATCATGATTTTTTGTACTGCACAAAGCTGAGCTGCTCTGTGATTCTTTCTCAGTGAATTGTGGGATAACTTGTCTTTCCTTCTAGGTACATGGTGGGGTCTGTGGGAAGGCACTGCAGGGCTATCACTCAGCACTTGAGTGGTTTAACCTAGATCCAAACTGCAAAGTGGGTGGGTTTCCATCCCAAGTGAAAGTGGAGCCCAGGCTTTAGTCTATGGTCCCAGCTTGGCCAGCTAGCCTGGAGTGAAATCACCACCACATTCAGGCGAGAGGGGTTTGTGTGTGGATGAGAGGGGGGGTCAGGGGAAAAACCAAAGGAAGCGGCTGAGTTAACTGTGCACTATGCTGCTAAAATGTGTTAACTAATGTGTTCTAGTAGTCTAGTAAGAAAAGGCAGACACATACAAGCAACCAATGCAGGTAAGCAAGTTTGCAGAGTTCCCTTTCATTATAAAATAAAAGCCATTGGTTCAAGACTGGGCGGGAGCGGGGGCGGGGGGGGGAGGGGGAAGAGCCAGACTGGCCTGATAGGATTGAAATATGTGGAGTCTTTGTCCTTGGCAGCCTGCTAACGGGTAAGGTATTGTCTGGTCAGAAAGCAACTGAAAGCTATTGTTTTTCTGAAGTCTCATTTTTCATACTATTCCTGCATACTGTGCTGTTTTCAATGAAGTCAAACATATGTGCTTTGTTGCTGAACATATGAAAAATCAATTATTTTTCATGCTGGTACAGAAAGTCACTACTAAAACTCTGTATGTGTATCTAGTAGTGTTTCCAGTTCTCTGTTCATAAAATTAAACACTCAGTTTGTAGCAATATGCAACATCAAATATTTTAGTGTAGCGTCCTTTGGTTTCAAATATAGATGATATAATTTCTGAGTTTTCCTCTCTTTCTCTGTTTATCCTCTTATGTATAAATTTTGGCAGTCTATAATACAAAAAGCCAAGATAAGACCTCCCCTCATAATGGCTTGGAGGGTGTATGTGAGTGAGAGAGAAGTTATATCATCATCCTTTTAATGTTTTTGGCAATAATCCTAAGCAGCAATTTAGGGATTTGATATTTAATATGGTATCATATAACAAGCTTTAGTCACTCTGGACCTCATGGGGCCAAAAAACTATGTTATAAAGAGAACCCAGTCCTGCACCATTGAATTCATGAATCACAGCTCTCTCATTTACTTCAATGAGAACATAACTGGGCTCAAAGTAGCTCTCTTCCTAGGTTCTTATATGGT